ATCATTGATTTAGAAGGAGGGGTCGCTTTCTTTCTCATTTTTTCTCACTAAGATTACAAACTTGGTCAATTTATAAAAAGTTAAGATCACCCCTTCCCCCATTTCAATGATGGAAAAATGGTGTTTTGGTTTTAGCACACGTTCATTCTTCAACATTGATTTGATTCGGAAGGAGGGGTGGCCCTATTTCTCATTTTATTCCGACCAAGATTACAATCTTTGTCAATTTCAATGAAAAATTTTAAGATCACCCAGGCTATGGAAAAAATGGTGTGTTTTAGCTTTAGCGCAAGTTGATCATTGATTCAGGGGTAGGAGTGGTGTTATTTCTCATTTTATTCTGACCAAGATTGCCGCATAAACACTTAAATTGCCACTGATAATTGTACACCTACCTAGTGATCCAGTACCCAAAACAACAGCGATGGTAACAAAATCTTAAACATGAGAAAAATTAGCCAGTCAGAAAAATCAATAGACCTGCATAGCATTCAAACCATGAACTTTGAATTGTTACAAGCTTTTACAAGTTGCTTCATAATCATACAAGAATGCACAATCAGTATTTGTTTCCACAATGTCATGTTATAAAATAAATGAACAAATAGGCTCAAACAACCCACATTTCATGTATGCTAACCAATTGCAAGCTAAAGTAAATCTTCAACCACTCTTATTCTATGTCATTTTTAACTCTCAATTAGTACCCCCACGAGTGTCTACAAATACACAACATGGTAAGATTTCCTCCGAGCTAAGCTTGTATGCGTTTTATCCCCTGACTCCTTTATGTGTGGGAGGTGCGGTGGCCTTATAGTTAGTGCACTTGATTCCAGAGCAAGCGGTCCGCATTTGAGCCCTGGCCAGGGACATTGTGTTGTGTTCTTGGGCAAGACACTTTTCTCTCACACTCAGTGCCTATCCTCCCAGGTGTACAAATGGGTACAGGTGAATTTAATGCTGGGGGGTAACCCTGTGATGGACTAGAATCCCATCCAAGGGGGAGTAGAAATACTCCTAGTTTCTTCATGCCACTGAAACAGGGATAAGCTCCGGCCTGATGAGCCACTTGGCTCGTATGCAAACTTTACCTTTTACCTACTCCATTATGTTTGTATTTTTAGCTTATAAAGATATGTTATTTATTGTAGTAGGTCCACATCAGCCCTTTGGCTACCTTAATTCAAACCTAATTCATCAAATAAAGTATGTACATCCATGTATGTAAATAAAAGGTTCTAAGTTTTCTTTCAAATGAGTATGGTGACCTTGACTATTTCATGCAATATGATGTAAGTGGCATATAGTTGACAGCTTTGAGATGTTGAATTCTTCAACTTGTTTAATAAAATAACTGCCTTAAGGTGTCTTAAGGTGGCAGAACACAGTTCTAGGCACGCTAATGCAAAACAGCGTGCGCACATAAGGATTACAAAAACAAACCGAAACATGGCATCGCTACAGTGATCATTTTATCTGCTCAATGCTCACCCTATCTGTACTATTTTTCTTCATAATTGAACAGTGTATTTATTTAACGATTTTAGTCTTTTAATAGAAAGGCATGTTAGATAACGTAATGATGCAAAGAACCCAGCAATTCTCAGATTTTTCTCTGTTATCAAAAGAACCCGGTTAAATGAAGCACATGTGTAGTAAGTAAAAAATTGCGATTGAAAGGGGAACACATGTAGCTTTCTCCGAAATACACCTATTTCTCGAGAACTACTCATTATAATTTCACAATATTTGGCACAACAGTAGTTTGGGAAATAAGTAACTAAATTAGAATTGTGAAGTTTAACAGATGAAATTCTAGATATTCCAGTTACCCTTCGACAAGGGATAAAATTGACTTTCTTTCTGTTAAACTATTATTAACAAAAATAGTCTTAACATGTATGTGTGCATTGTTACAAGTTTGTTGCATGCAAATGATAAAGAAAATCTATTGACTAGAGTTTCTGCAAATAAACAAAACCGATTTTTAAGGCCTGTTTATATTTATTTATGGTACCATGGCAATGACACATACGTCTGCTTAACTATCAAAAACCGAACTTCGTGTTGTTAACTTGGATGATGTCGTTTTTGGCGACCAAAAGATTAAAGGTTTTAGAAAAAGAGGTGACTGAAACATGTATTCACCATTGTAGATTCGAAGTGTGTATGATTTCTGCAAAGCTGCTGGTATTTTGACCCGCTAGCCCTCGAAAACAAGTAAAAACAAGTAACTAAAGCCTGAGTTGTGGTGAGAAAACAAATCTTCCGTGAAACTCACCAAATTGCCATGGTGACCCTCAGATCTGTGGTCAGAAAATAAATTTTCCAATATTACATAGCCCAGCAAATTTGTTTTCGCCATAACTGATTGTCAGAAAACAAACTTTCCGTGTTGTGTAACTCACCAAAAGGTCTTGTTTTGTGTTCAGAATGGTTAATTCACCTTTTTTGTTTGTGAAAACAAGATGTAAATTCAAGCAATATAACCAAAAACAAACACGAAATTTAAAAACATTAGGCGATGCGCTGTCTTGCAGGGTCGCTGGTCAAAACTTTATTTTCTTAAGAAATATTTGTTACAAGTGTTGGCGATCTGAAATTGAATTCTAAGTGTCGCCAACAGTTCGAATACCTTTCCTGGAAAATGTTTTGTCCAGTGCAAGTTAATACTTAATCCCTTTTACCGCAGGCTTCAACTTCACATGTAGATCTCTACATGTATCTGTCATTCGATCAAACTTAGTTTTTTATGA